GGTGGCCCTATTTTCTCTTGAAGGCCTCCAGCCTTGGAGCCCTGCTCACCACCTCCCATTAAGCTCATTGTTCCCGTTGTCTTAATGCTCAAACAGTTAGGAAGTTTCTTTTCCCTGATCTTCAACCGAAATCTGGCTTCCTGTAACCGGAGTCCACTATTGTGTGTCCTGCACTCTGGGACGATCGAGAACAGATCCTGCCCCTCCTCTGTATTATTAACTTTTCCCAGTCTTTGAAAAGTGCTCTCTCGCACCCAGACCTCAGGACACAGTAGGCAAGGCCGCTTGCCCAGGGTGCCAACATTGCCAGTCACAGCTGTGGAGGTGGGGTAGGAGGTGGCCTCATTCCACATTAAAAGCCAAAGCTGGCAGGCCAAGGCTGGCTTCCTTCCAGAAGCCCTTTTGCGTGTCCATGCAATTGTTATCAAGGAGGCCACAGCCTGGGCCCAGTGGCCTAATGGATAAGGCATCAGCCTCCGGAGCTGGGGATTGTGGGTTCAAGTCCCACCTGGGTCGTCCGCCGGGCTTTTAGTTCCATCCCCAAGAAACAGTGGAGTCATCCAAGATGAACGGTGTGTTTATCTCCTGTATAATTAGTATGAAAAACAACCTGCCTGCTTAGCACCAAACCCAACGAAGGCCCTTTTTTTTTTTGCTTCCTTCCTTGTTTGCTTTATTTCTAGGCTGCCTTCCTCTCTGCGAGGGGACCCCCGGCGGCTCACAGTGACTGAAACAAGTAAGACTAAATCCACAATATATTACAAAGAGGAAAAAAACATACATGAGACAAAAATTAAAATATCATCTAAAGTCTAGAAAACTTTAAAAGATACTTAAAGAGAACGATGATGTAAAGCAACACATCACTGCAAACAATCACAGTGGAACAATTTACACACACATATAGACAGCCTGGCTGGATAGCTCAGCAAGTTAAGTATCCAGTGGCAGAGCCAGAGATTGGGGGTTTGATTCCCCCGCTGTGCATCTCCAGGGGAGAAGGGCCAGCCTGAGTGGCCTTGGGCCAGCTGCATGGCGGTCCCAGGGCACCCCCGGAAGAAGGAAAGGGGAAACCACTCCTGAGTATTCTCTACCTAGAAAACTCTGAATAGGGTCCCCATAAGTGAGAATTGATCTGACGGCATATGATTATTATTTATTATATGTGTAGCGCACATAATCAAATCGTACACCACCCAGAGAGTGCTTTTAGCTTTCCCTGACGATGGACTGCCTATGCTAAAGACCGTTGACCCTCCTTTCAAGGAGCTGCGCTGGAGTTCTGTTTCTTTCTGGACACCAATGAAAGACGTTAAGTGCATAGCAAAGCAAAAAGCAAAGCGTGCTGTTTATATACCGCCCCATAGCGCTTCAAGCACTCTCTGGGCGGTTTACAAGCTAATTGTGCAAGCTGAGTACTCATTTTACCAACCTCGGAAAGATAAGTCAACCTTGAGCCGACTACCTGGGATTGAACCCCAGGTAGCGAGCACAGTTTTGGCTGCAGTACAGTAGTTTAACCACTGCGTTACGAGGCTCCAAGAGTCGTCTGGGAATGAAAGATAATTTGACGACAGCCGTTTAACCACTGCGTTACGAGGCTCCCAGAGTCGTCTGGGAATGAAAGATAATTTGAAATATCTGTGGATTCAGCTATTCCGATCAGGGGTGGCTCCATAAGGAAGCACTGGTTGTCCATGCAGAAGGGTCAAGGTTCCACCCTCAGCATCTCCAGTTCTTGAAGGATCACACAGCAGGAGACGGAAAAGACCCAAACGGTCTCCAACCTGGACGGCAGTCACTAGTCAAAGAATGCTAGGCTCTCTCAGGGTATCCTCCTGCATCAGCCCCTTCTTGTTTATCTTTTTTTTTAAAGACATGACTTTAATGCCATTTTCTTCACCTAACTGGCCAGTACAGGTATTTATTTGTTTACCTTACTACCTACCCACCTACCCTTTCCCATTAGTGCTTTTGGAACCAACTACTTTCTTTGGAACTTGGATGATGCAAATAAAAATTCTTCTCTCTTTGGTGAGTATGTATGTGATGTGAAATTGTCGAATGCATGTAGGCATCCTTCAGTCTCAAGAGACTAGAGTAACGTGCTCTGAATGGAGGACTTGGAACAGTGTCTAGTGTGGCTGAGAAGGCCAGTTTGAGAGAGACCATCCCTTTCACACTGAAGACAAACACAGTCTGTCCCCTGTCCAGATCCCTGGTTTCGCTGGTTTTGGGACTGCCTCTTTGCCTCGGCCTGCTGGACGAGGGTCTCTTCAAATTGGGAGAGGCCATGCTGCACGCATAACCACTCTTATCCTTTGATGAGCGACTGCCGCCTCCTTGCCTTCAGTGCCCATGTCGTTTTTCTTCAGCCACCTCCCACGGCCTACCTTCCCTGTGCCTTCTGCTACAGATTGCCACGATTCCTTTATGGCTAAGACCCTGTCCCACGCCAGGGCGCCAGAACCCACCCTCTGGCCCTACGTGACTTTCCTTCTTGAGCAGGATGCGGTTTGGCAGGCCCACCCAAGTGCCAGCTTTGACTGGGACCCACTGAAAACCTCTCGCTAACAGGACCCACAGGGGTGTGGGTGCGGAAGGGGGACTCTGGCGCAGCCATCTAAAACGAAACAAAGCCAACCTGTTCCAGTCTCTAGCCGTGATGGGCCCTTTTGTGAACAACCCCTTGCCTGGTGAACTTCAAGGGTAGTCCTTGGCTGATTTTAGGGCCCTTTTGCATACTTCCACGTCTTGTTGAGGACAACCAGGCAGATTTGGAGAAGAGAAAAGGTCGTTTTAAAAGAAAATCTGTGGAGCGTCTTAGGGTTTGAGCCCTACAGAACTCCAATCAGCCTGATAGGAGGAGGCGTCTTTTAATATGTTATGGAACGGAGGTGAGGGGAGCCGCCCTCCTTGGAAGGATTTTAAAGGGGATGCCCTGCAAGGACAAGCAGCGCCATCTGACGGTCCCCCTCAGATGATGCACCTTCGGTGTTGTATTTCCCTAACGCTGCTCGTAATTTTACCGACGGGGTTCTGCAACAGCTCCCTAGCGTGGTTCTCAATACAGGCCTAGAACAAGGTTTCTGCCACTAAAAGAAGGGAAGGAAGGACAGCATCTGCAGGAGGAGCGCAGAGCTGGCGAGTGGCCTCCAGGAAGCCAAGGGTGGGCGGCCATCCGTCGGGGGATGCTTTTTGCTACAGATTTCCAGGATCTGCAGGGGAGGTGGGCTAACAAAGCCTACACAGATCTCTTCCATCTCTACTGTTCCACGATTCTATGTCAGAAGCTGGGTCGGCAACACCAGGGACGCTGTCCTAGGGGATTTTGGGGCCTGGTGGGTTTCAGCCTAGATAACTAACTGTGTGATGCTGTGCTGAGCAGGGCAGAAGCCAGTTGATCTACTCTTCTTTAGTGAATTCACCCCTCCCGCCTTCTAGCAACGTGTACCAACTCCATGGCTCTACTTCTGAACCCTCACATCAGGGAGACGGTATTCAACAGGTGCAGCTTTACCAAGCCTACAGTGCCAACATTGCGGGAAAGTTTAATTTTACAGCACCGCGGGTTAACAATCGAGTGTCAAAAAGAATAATACTGATCTTCATGCCGGATTAAGTATTTTACAGCAAATCTGGTTTTGCAAGTTCCCGGAGGGTCATTGCCCAGATCTTAACACAAGCATCATTGTTTCCTAGAAGTTCAGCGTTAGGTATCCAAACACCAGTCCTTAATCTGGCCTTTCATGGCCTTCATACACGCTTCTCTTCAACAAGATGCATCAAAAATAAAGCAAAGCCCTCCTCTTAAAACATGAACCACTGGATAGTGCAAGTGGCTTAGCTCTCTGCCTGCAGAGCCAGAGGAGCTAGACTTGATGATCCAGAGAGTCCCCCATCCAGTTCTGCCATTCTCAGATTATAACTTTTCTAAGTTGCTGCAGCAACAGGAAGGAAATTACCCCACCCTCCTCTTAACACATGAACCGCTGGGTAGTGCAAGTGGCTTAGGTCTCTGCCTGCAGAGCCAGAGGAGCTGGACTTGATGATCCAGAGAGTCCCCCGTCCAGTTCTGCCATTCTCAGATTACAGTATAACTTTTCTAAGTTTGCTGCAGCAACAGGAAGGAAATTACCCCAATATTATGTTTTCCCCATCACGCTGCTCCATCAACCGGAGACACACTCCACAGAGGTATTTCCCCATCTGAAGTGGTCGGAATTCTGCCAGGCTGTATTTGCATAAGCCTGCGTGTAACACCTTCTATTTACACTTGTCAAAAGTCAAGGCTGCTCACAAATCTCTGTTCTGAATGAAGACATAAGACTTCATCTTAGCCCCTTCATCCCTGTGAAAATTTCCAACACAGTATCTTTTGGGGCATCAAGAGACTAATGGATATTTCTCTGGTGGCAGGATCTTAAAAAATGGGCTGCTCAATAGGTAGCTTGTAACTGGTGGGTTTCTCAAGCCGGACTCAAAAAATCTGAGAAAAGGCACCCACCACCTCAGCCCACCTCAATCCACCAAAAAAAAAGGACAACAGAAAACTCGTTAGTTTCAAACTGCCACAGAGTCTTCGTTATTTTGCCATGAGCCATCGGGCAGTCAGCGGTCGCTGTTTTAGCACAACCCCAGAGAGGTCTACTCAGAAGCAGGGTGGATAAAACTCAATCGTTTTAAAATATCAAATTGATTCCAATCACAAAGTAAATTTTTTTTACAAAAATCAATTTTGTTATTTAAATAGTTTTAAAAACCCTGTTTCTATCTAAACCATTAAAAAAATCTGATTTTTACAATTTTAATCATTTTGATTTAAATCGTATCCACCCTGCTCAGAAGCACATCAACGACGAATGAAATTGAGTTTTTCCTCAAGAAAGTGGGTTAAGGGGGTTGCCTCTGTAGTCAACTATTTTTAACTCATTACACAAACATACATTTTCACAACAGCAGAAAAATAAAAAAAAATGGCTCTGGAGCGGAAAACCTACTTGCATTGTTTTAGACGATGCACGTTGCACTTGCGTGGATCAGCTCGGAGTCCTCTTCGCCAAAGCAGTTCCTCCCTGCGTGAACGAGAAAAGCCATGGATGGGTTTTATTAACACTTCTAGCGAATGTATATACTGTACACAAACACACTCGATCAGCTCTCCAGGAAACCAAAGGGGTGTTCTTTTTGTCTTTCCTCAGAAGATTTTTACATTCATTGATTCAATCTGTTTACTATTAAATGTTGCAAGCAGGGTCATGGAAATGAATTAACCTGATAAAAGCAACTCCTTTCTTGCATTGGCCTTATTTATATCTGTTCTTATTAAGACACAAGACAAACAGACAGCTTTCGGGGAGAAGTGTGTGTTTCCCAACAGAACGGTTACAAGAAGAACACGGCGCATTTCCTGTAGCGAGGACTGTATGGACGATGCACTAAACCCATCCCTAAATAAGCAGAGAGCTGGGGGGCATGAATGCCCCATGAAAAAGGAGGAAAAGGTGGTGGCAACCCCCCCCCAAGAAAACAGATGCTTAAAAAAGGGGGGGAGCAAAGAAGGCTGGAAGGGGTTGCTGTTCATTCGCTTAATTATTATTACTATTATTATTTATTTGATTTATACCCTGCCTATTTGGGCGACTCGTCCACTCTAATGCTCAGCAATAGATTCACCTTGGGATTCTGGTGCCCCTCCAAATGCCGGTGCCCTCCATCCTCATTACAGCCCCTGCCAGGCTCATTTTTGGACAGCTGGAGGCATCCAGTCAGTCCAAACAGCCCCACACAGCACGATGGAGGGGCTTCCTGTAATATTTGAATACAGGGTGTGGGTGTGGGAAGCTTCTTGGTATAACTGAAAAAACATGAGAGGTAAGCCGAAGCAAGACGTTTTATTCCCAGATCCCTCTTTTCTGAAGTTTTCAGGGGCAGATGGGCTTTGGGAAATGGGGATCTGGGGGTGGGGTGTTGTAGTCCACAGAATCCCCTTCAGCTCAGGCTGCAGCAAAGGGAATGAGATGGCCCTTGCATGTCAATGCACAACTGAGATTAAGACAGGAATCCAAGGTACCTCTGCCTTATATATTGTATTATTTTTTGGGGGTCAGACCTGCTAGCTCAGTGGTTTAGGCCTCTGGCTTCAGAACCAGAGGTTGGGAGTTCGATTCCCCCACCGGGTCTCCTTGGCAGGGGTTGAACTCCATGATCCAGAGGGTCCCTTCCAGCTCTGCGGTTCAAAGGTTATTATTATTTATTGTATTATTGATTTTATTGATGATTCTATTGTCTTTGTTGGTTGTATTTTTTTTTATCATGTCATGAATTTGCACAGAATAGTGCTTTGCACTAATTGGGATGGTATATAAATCAAAGCTGGACCGTGTAGGAAGCGGACAGGGGGGGAAAATGATTTGTTTGAAATATGGGGCCGAGTGAGAGCTTTGTGGATACCCTAGGCGGCCAGAAGAAAAAAAACCGAACCAGTGGGTCCCTAGATGAAATAAGGCCTGAATTCTCTCTCTGGAGGCAAAAATGTGGAAACCGAGGTTGTCCTCCTTTCGGGCACATCCTGAGAAGATCAGATGCTCGGAAAGAAACCTTTCAGCAGGACAAGAGGAAGACCCTCCACGGTGAGATGGACCGACTCCCTGAAGGAAACCACGGGGTCGAGTCTTGCTTCCAGAAATGACCCGGGAGGCGGAGGGCTGGAGATTTCGGAGACGGCTCATCCTATGAATTCCCCGGCCAGTGACTTCAGGCCACAGAACAACGACATCAATCAAAGAAATGCGTAAAAAAAAAAAGAGAAACAGAAAGTATAGTACCTAGTGGGGTCTGGCGTCCACATAGCCCAGTGCTGTCTGGCAGCAGCTGCGCTCCCAGACCTCACTCTCAGCAGGCATCCCTGCTGTTGATGATGATAAGTGATGATGATGCTCCTGGAAAGGCAATGTGTCTGGGGACACCCTCCCCCTCTGCCCCTCCCCCGAGCTACGGCCTCGCTTCTTTCGGGGAGGCTGCCGAAGAGTTCTGTGTCGCCCGCAAGCCTGCACGCACACACGAGCCAGAAAGAGAAGCGGGAGACCTCCAGGCCAGGCCAGGCCGCTCCCCGTCCCCCTTTCTCGGAGGAGTCCCGCTGTGGGAAATGGGGGGCCAAGAACGGGCGAGGCGAGCCCGGGGACCGTTTGAATTGCCCGAGAGACGCAGGAAGCGGCCCGGCCCGCGGAACGGCTGCGAGTCGTCAGAGGCCGGGACTACAACACCCACAAGGCCCCGCGCCCTCCCCCTCCCACTGAGGAGGGAGAGCGGGCGGTGGTGGTGGGAGGAACAAGATGGCGGCGCCGGCCGCGAGGACTACAACGCCCACAAAGCCCCGCGCCCCGTCTCCCACCGAGGCTTCGTAAGCCGGCGGGCGAGGGGAACAAGATGGCGGCCTTGGCCGTGAAGCGGCGGAGGTGAGCCTCTGAAGGGGGGTTGGTCCGTCCAAGGGGTTGGGGCCAATGAGGAGGGGGGGCAAGTGTGGGGGGGAGACCCCTCAAGGGAGTTCAACGCCTGGCGAGGGAGGGGCCCCGAAGAGGAGCCTCAGATCGCCCCCACCTTCCCTCCCCTCCCCTCCCTGAGAGAGCGCCTCTGCTTCCCCAAAATCTCCCCCGTCGAGCAAGTGCGGCGCCTGCCGTCCCTCAGGGAAACAACCCCCCCCCACACACACACACAAGAAGACG